ATACACATATATATATTATATATACACATATACACATGCCTTCATTTTAGCTAACTTACATTTCTGGATGTTCTTGTTCCATCCAATTTCACCGGTTTGTATCCCCTTAAGATTCAGTAACGTTACAACTAACCTCAGTGCAATGCAACAAAGTAGAGGGATGCCGGCGAGCATTTGCATTCGCACAAATTCTCCGGTCGAATCGCTCGGTCGACCTCGGCCTCGGTCTGCCCTGTTTACATCCGAACAAGCAAGGCTGGGTGGTGGTCTGTGGCATCGAAACGCAACAAGCCCTCGTGCGCGCGCGAGTGTCATTACGCGGCTCATTTTCCGGCTTTAATTAAACGACATACAAAATTCGCGCGGCACGCCCGCATCTTTCTGGAAATTATCGGAAAGCTTGAGACAGGTCAACCGTAAACGCAGGAACGTAGTCCGCAACTAGGACGGGGTACGCGTCAAGTTCGAATGCAAATTCCGTGATATTTTAGAGAATTTCTCCGACGAGAAATTCACTCCTGTATGTGACACAAGATACGAACAATGTAAAAGTAGGAAAATATCATCCAATTAATAAGAATAAAATATTTTTTCGCATTATATATGTGTGTATATGTATATTATCATATGCTTTTATGACTAGAACACAATAGAGTAGTCGAACATTCGATTAGGAATTAAATCATTGTAGATAAAATTGATGATAAAAATATAATTAAAATTGAATAAAAATTTAAATTCAAAGATTGTTATATATAATAATAATGTATTTTATAAAATATTCAAAATTTTAACAGATTGCTATGTGCAGATACGTGTGTCATGTATATATTGAAATTTCATCATATTATATCTATTCTTTATCCTTAAACTCTTCTACAAATTAACTGAATACAAGTTAACTGAATACAGATTTATTTGAATCAAGCGGAAATTTATTTAATTTTCTTGAGAATAATCTACTCATTGGTATTTTTTAATGCATTATTTCATAGATTTTTCTCTAATGTTCGGCTATAGTTTTGTTCTTTATTTTCATTCATTTTGGCAGCATTATATACGTGCCATATGCCAATCATGTTTATCGACAATTTTGCGAAATGACCGAGACCTTATCGCGATTTTGCTTCAGCATTGCATGCGTGTAATTACGTTACGTGTGTGTCATATCGCAAGAAAAAAAACACGCATTTCCTTTCGCTTTGCTTGTAATTTTAGATAGTCAAAATATGCATCGATAGCAACACATAATATTGCTAATAATCTCGATGCAAAAATAGTGAATACGAAATATATTAATCATTATATATAATATTTAATAACAAGTAATTTTTAGTAACAAATAATCTTATATAAAGAATTCCAAAATTAAATTCTTTTAATATATATGATGTAAATATTGAAAACTTGTAATAAATAATTTCCTTCGATATTTTCGCTAAGAAGAAAATGTGTTCTAATTAGTTAATTTGTTCTAAATTAATTAACAATCTACCACTACAAGGATGAGTGATTTATAAACCTTTAATATATATCCTACAAATTTTTTTATAGAAATATATAAAAATTTGGAATACATGTGTGAGATATTCTTTAAAAATTATTAAAATCTACATATACAAAACATAAATAGAAATAAATAACTTAAATTAAGCATTTAATCAATGAATATAATAAATAAAACAAGTTTTCTACGTTTTTCATACATTTCCTTCTTTGTATATTAAAATTTCTCTAATTATTATACTGAATTACAGTAATAAAGTATTACTGTATTACTGTATACAACGGTATACCATAGAAAGACAAATGATCAATAATACGTGTAAAAACCTCTCGAAACTGTTCCGATTTTCAAAGCTCAGCAACACGCCATGTTTTTCCGGTATCGAGCGGCAATCGCGATATTTCACTCATTAAGAATTTCCGTCCTCGCGACCAAGAATGAAAAATGGCTTTATTTTCCCGCACATATTGCACCGCTCGTATCGCGGCAAGCCCTTCGTCTCGTGTCTGTGCAATAAATAAAGTGACGCACGCAGTAATTTCAGCCACGCGCGATTGGGAGCTTCGACGATGGGTTTCCCGTCCATCGCACACCCGTAGCGGCATCAATTATTCGTAGCAGTTAGTTTTTGCTGAATGCAGTGTTCTACATTGCGAATGTCGCGTACTGCAGAAACGAGAGCGAGGATACGGTATGTTTATTACACCGAACCGCACGTCGCGAAAACAGACAGATATCTCGTATCGTTCCGTACATGAATGCTACCAACTCGTCGGAAATTAATTAGATACCATGTTCGAAGGAACTTGTAATTAAATTTTCGAATTTTAGAGGCGAAAGCAACGTCTGTATTCTGGACGCATCTATGTGATTCTCTCTATGTATATGTATATATATATATATATATATATATATATATATATATAATCTTTCTTCCTCCGTCTGTCAAGCTCCCAAGTCACGCACGTTCGAAATAACGTAATCCGGGAGACCAATACCTGCCAATTAATATTCCGTATCAAGTTACCAATGGATCGACACGGCATCCCATCCAACGTGTCGTACTTTCGCGTTATACATACAATAGGTGTTGCGCGACGCGAATTCGAGTTAGAATTTCACCAGTCGAACGGATATCGTTGCGAAGACAAAGGCAGAGGAAAAAAAGATTGAGAGATACATCGACAATAATTGGAAAGAAAAAACGATATCGAATTTGACTGAGATTTAATTTAAGGAATAATTATTTTTATTGTGGCAAAAATGAAAGGTCTCTTTGGCATCGTACGATCCATCGTATGGAAAAACAAAAATCTAATCTTTGTAATAAAAAAGTTATCGAAATTCACCTGTATCCTCATGTTGATTCCTTAATGCGATCGATGCATGGAGGGATTTTTTAATAATTTTTTAAACGGATACGCGACATATAAAATCATATTTGGCGAGACACAGAGATTTTCTTTGATTCGGAATAAACGCAGTATTTCGAGGCGGATTCGCGCGAAAAATTTATCTCCGAAGACACACGATCGAGTCTCTTTATACATACCAGATACGCAGAATGATATTGCATCGCGTCGTGCCTTGAAAATTTTCGAGACAAGAGTCTCTTAGAGATTGCGCTTTGCGAATTTTTCTATCATGTTTCGCGCTGATAGGATTAATAAAGCGCGCCGAGCCATGCTCGCGTCGCACCGCAACGCGGACAGAGTTTCCAGACTCATTTCATGCAGAATCGAATTGGATTTCCAGGTTGGAGCCGGTGTATATAACTGTGTGTAACTCACGAAGAGAGAAAGAGAACGAGAGAGGGAGGGAGAAGGAGAGGGAAAGAGAGAAAAGAGCGAGAGGGAGAAATATACGGTTAGAACGCACAACCCTTTGATGTGCATCGTCGGCTCGAAGCGCCGGCGATGCTCTTTCAGCGGGCGCGCTGCACTTTGTTACATCGACGCTAAATAATCGGTTTATAAAAATTCATGGCGAGTTTAGTGAGGCGGGTTTATATCCAGCAACACTCGGACTGTATACTTTGCTATTCCAGGGGTTGTCCTGTACTCTCCTTTCGCGTTTTCATATTACAATATCGCCAGCCGGACGTTGTGACGAGAGCTCGCAAATTGAAAAGTGAACGAGGATATATTCGCGAAGCGTTTCGCGCGTGCGAAGAATATTTATGGATGTACAAAGTATCGTGGAAAATTAACACTGTGATTCTTTAAAAATTTATATATCTTCAAATCGCGAGAATTTCAGGTTTTCATGATTTTAATAAACTATCATATATGCATCACAAAATATAAAATTTTATATCGTGAATAAATTAAAAAATTTGTAAATGATTATTTTACTTAAATTGATATTTCTTGGGAAGAAGAGAACCAAATATAATTTAATTCCAAATACTTATTACGCAAAGTATAAAATTTTATATTGTGTATTTTATATAATAAAGAAACTAAATATATTAAGAAAGTGTAAGTACTTTTTCAATATTATTAATTTTGCTGGTAGAAAAATAAACAATGATAAAATTATTTAAATAGAAACAATCGTAGACAATACAGACTAAAATATATAACGGTGCAATTGCTCCCATGGGAGAACAAACCGCGCTATATCGTGGATAAATGGGCGGCATGCGTTTGTAGAATATTTTATATAGATATAAAATTTAATTCTTCACAAACTATTAGTTTATAAGCACAAATAATATAGAAAGCACGATCGATTAGATAAGAAATCAATAACAAATTTTGATTATTGTTGGTCGACATAAAACGAGCATAAGATAGAAAGAATTCCTTTTTACGATATTCGCACCTGAAATACCTACATCTCTAATCGACCCCTCGAAAAGCCATCGCGCGATCCATCCCATCTCAGTCTCTTCCCTCGTCCTCGAAAATGTGCGAGGTAACGCACGGTTCTGCGCGCTCTTCGCCAGGTGAAATTAAATTAGAAGGAAAATATTCGGAGAGCCGGCCAGTGCTTTTGAACGTGCCACAAGATAGCGAGATAGAATAAAGGCAACGAGTGCGCGTATATCGGTATTCCTGTGGCATAGAGGGTATATTCGTGCTCTGGCACGTTCAAGCGATGCAACCGCTAAAAACGTACCGATTCGCCAGCTCTACGTCTTGATCGCCAGACTCAACTTTCAACTCTCGACCGACCTCCTCCTCCCTTTCCACGATTCGTTTTTGTCGGAACGTTTCAGACATACACATATATATCGCGTTATCTCTCATTTTCTCTTCGCCTTCTTTCACGAGTAGTCGTTCGTACAATTGTGATGACACATCGAAAATATAACTATACTACCGTTTTGCAACAAATTCGCGAGATTGATTCCAATTTCTAGATCTAATTTAATTATATATATGCAACACGCTTGTTTTTTTTTAACACTCGGGGTAAAATAAAATTAAAAATCGCTCTGTAAAGTTTGTTAAAAAGATAATAAAGCGATTTCTTTTCACGATTGCAGTTCTCTTAATGCGAAGCTTGGCGACATCGGAGCCGGCAAAGTCGAACACGACCAGCGCTATTTCCGAGAATGACGAGGAAGAGCTACTCGCGAACATGAATCTAACGACATTCAAGGAGAGATACCGGAGATTGATACCGTACATGACTTTCTATGTCGCCAATAACTACTTGCACGCCCAAACTGCGTTGGAGCAAAATTACGCGACGGATCCATCGATCAACTTGCTCCGGAAACTTTCGCCGCCGGAGCAGCACCCTTTGAGCCGGCTCGGCGGCGTGCCGAGGCGAGGAAATAAATACCGTGTCAATTTACCCGATCAAGACAAGAAGTTCGTTCCATCTGTGCAATTTGATCCTAGAAATATCGGAGGCGACAACGACTACTTTACACCGGTCAAGTATAGCGCCAAGATCAACTATGCCGAATATTCCACTCCGTCTTATCAGCTCTATCGGGTGGAAAAGACTTATCCCGAGATTACCACGCCTTCCACTCAGATCTTGCAGGAAAATCGATATTTCGTTACCGCGAGACCCCTGCGACCTCCCGTTCCCGCGCGAGAGCAACACTTGATCAAGAAACCGCTGCTTGGCAGCTCGCAGGACGATTACGATCAGGTTACGGCGAAGATACCGAACGTCATCGTTAGCTACCCCAATAAAGAATACGAAGGTTTGAGATACATCCCGCCACCGATACATCCGAACGTGCAGCAGCAGTCATCCACCTCGCAAATTTATCGAAAACCGAACGTGATTAATAATTTAGTCAAGAGTTTTCAGTTGACCGAGCAACTGCCAGAAATATTAAACAACGACAACATCGATAGCAGTATCAAGACCCTTTTAGAAATTATCAATATTCTGCACAATTCGCGGCAGGAAAATTTGCCGCAGCCACAGAAACCGTTACTGTCGCCGCCCAGACTGACTAATTATAAACCGAAAACACACACGCGACCAAAAGTGATTACCGAGACGAGGTTCCAGGCGACTCCGAATCCTTTATTGATCACCGAAGATCCCGAACGATATAAGGTAGCGAACGTCGATAACGTCCGGCTCAAGACACCACAATTACAATCAGATAATATAAATCACATAAAAGATGAAAAGGTGGAATATTACATCCCTTATGTTCAGGATATTTCGAATGAATCTAATCAGCAAGGATTCAGACCAACCCCCAGACCTGATACGACCGAACATACCTACGAGATCACGGAAGATCTTAGTGACGACGTCCTACAGGACGAACGGTACACTTTGCCGATTTCTACCGAAGCATCCGTGAGTCAGGAACACGTGGCGCCCAACGAAATTACGCATCCAAAACCGAAAACATCCTTGAAATACGGTGCGACACGCGGAAAACCCCATGTCGATTATCCAACGTACGCGATTATACCCGAAACTAATTTCTCTTGTAAAAGTCAAAGATACAAAGGGTTCTTCGGCGATCCAGCGACTAGATGTCAAGTGAGTATACGCGGAAACATAATATTTATTTATATTTTTGTTCCTCAAATTTTGGAATTTTCAAACGAAATGGTTATAAAATATATTTTTTCAATTTTTTTTAAACTTGGAAATCTTTATACACTCCTTTTCGGCTATTTTAAAGTTTATATTTGCGATTATTTAAAATATCGAATTAATAATAATATACATATCATTTTCAGGTGTGGCATTACTGCGATCTTAATGGCGGTAAATCGTCGTTTTTATGTCCGAACGGCACGATATTCAGTCAGATAGCATTGACTTGTGATTGGTGGTTCAATGTAAAATGCGAAACGACTACTCAATTATACGTTTTAAACGAGCGATTGTATAAATATATTTTGCCAATTATGCCCAAGTTTCCTGAAGATTTTACCGGTCCGGAAGTCGATCGATACTTGGAACTCAAATTCAAAGAAATGGAGGCAAAACTGAAGGAAAAGAAACTGAAGAAGCAGCAAGAGGACAAAAGCAAGCATAAAGCAAGCAAATCGCAAACATCGAATGACGAAGAATAGACGTATAAAATGTTAAATAATTTAATCGTAACGTACGATATCTGACTCGTTGCCATTATAATATATACATTATAAAACAAAAATCGTAGTCTATAAAGATTACAAAGACGAAGAGCTTGCAGTTTCGGAAAAGTGCAATATATATATAATAGAGTTATATATATTTTAATGAGATAAAGAGAGGATCATACACAACATCCTCGCGCGAAAAAATAATAAGTTATAATAAGATTATCTTACAATCTGTTACGGGTATGAAATGGCTGATGATATTATGTATTTCTTCTATTATCTCTAGTCATATTGTATTATTTATCACCGAAAGTGCTCGCCTGTCTCTATGAGCTTTATTTCTTTTGGCCTACTTGGCCTAAATTTATTTATTTTTATTACTGACGTATATACGTTTTATAGTTCTTGATTCTTTATCGAAAAAAATATTTAGAAAAATAAGTACTCACCTTTTTTGTCTGGCTAACTCGCAGCAGCGTCTCCTCGATGTTTGTGTAAACCTGATTAAACTCGGGTAATAGGGTCTGGTTCTGTAAATAAAACACATCAACATTTAGATTTATCACAATAGTGCATAATTATTTCTTTTAATTTAAATAATGTTACTACTAACCTTTTCTGATAATTCCACAAAGTCATGCATTTTGTGTGAGCGCAAAGTGCAATTAGAACAACAAGCCACATTACAGTCGTTACAAAAATAGTTTAATGTCTCGTGACATGTTGGCGAACAGCTATTCAAAATTGCAGCGGGAGTATTGGGGTCTCCTTCATATATCGGGACCTGTGTGTGACTTTGCAGTGCTCTTCCATGAATCTACAAAGTAGAACAAAATCAAAATATGATACATTTAATTAAAAACACATTTCTTTTATATAAGTATATTAATTTACTTTTGAGTAACAGCAATGACAATAGAGAGCCAGACATTGCGGACAATTAACATTAGCTTGATTTCCACATTCATAGCAACATCCTATAAGGAAAAAGAATAAATTAAATCTCTATCTTTTTTCATTCGCAAAAATTAATTCATTTCATGTAATAATGTGCTAACTTCCTAACCTTTCTTTGATATCTGACGTAACTGTGTAGATAATCTATGACAAAATAGAAAATCTTCATCGTCAGTTTCTAATGGACGATTACATGATGAAACCATCAATCCTAGTGTATATAAATTCAATGGAAGTAAGGATTCCTGACTGCTATTGTCTTCACTAGCAACACTTTTATTATTACACTTGCAACTTTTTTTACTTTTCTCAATCTGGGCACATTTACTACATATTGGATGTCCACATTCCAATAATAAAGGTATATAAATTCCCTTTTGTAAAGCTATCTTGTTCAGTTTTAATAAATCTGTAACAATTTTAACAAAACTCTTTCTATTTTGTCCTATGCGAGTTATTTACTATAATCTATTTTACAATATAAGAATATAAGATGTCCAAGTTGTACGTTTTTTCCATACATAATGAGAATAATACTGAGAAAATACAATAGGACTGTAGAAAAAATGTATGTCAATTTGTATCAAAGTTGTATTACAAAGTTATACGATATATAAAATGTAATTATATATAAAATATCTGATTAGCCTGATAACATACATTAATCTTCTATTATTATGAAATATGATAATCACAGTAAAGCTTCCCCATTTAAAATACGTATGAAAATATAAGTAAAATAAAACCGAATGGAAAGCATAAGTAGTATATAAAACATAAAACATTTTTCTAATCAACTAATAAAAATGTTTTCCATTAAAGCCTTGAATAAATACAAAAACGACACAAGTACTTCTTGATTTACAAGCGTTTCTCACTATAAAAAACACCTTAGAGAAGTCATGCTCACAAAGGATTCTAACCTCAAGATCACTGTTCGGATTCGTAATATCGAAAACAATCATTTTTACTTTCGCTTTTAGTATTGTTTATATATCGTACACGATACATACCGCATCATACGAGAAGGATCTCGCGAATTTGGCAACGCGTTGTATTTTTTCAACCGTGATGCCGGCGTAAGAATCGATATATGTATACATACATACATATATGCATGTACACATATTGTCGCGTTACGCGAAAAGCCGGCTCTGGAATTACCTGGCACGTAGAACTTGTGTTTACAGGCAACGCAGGTGACGTTCTTTAACCTCGTGCTGGGAATACTGTAGGAGGGCGGCGATTTGACCCTCGACGCTTCCGCGCGTGATACGTCCCTAATGTACGGATACATCACGGAAAATGGATCCAACTCGCGACTTATCCCACTCAAGACTTGTCTCTCACTCGACGCCGGTTCCTTCGAGATACAGAGCGTTCTCGACGAGACGCGACACGTTTGAACAACTGCTCTATCGCCGCTCTATCGCCGCACTACCCATGAGCACTTGCGCAAGTTACGTTATCTCCTGCCTCGTCTTTTTTACTCGACCGATCGTATTGTATTGGTACGCGGAGTCGAAATCGAGCACCGTCCTTCGGAACTGTTTACAAAAGTTTGTTTATATCGGATAACAAAGTAATCTCACTTTTATATCGCGAATGTTGTAGACGTGTAATATATGGCGGACAAACTCTGACGTCATATATAGCAACAAACTTCACGTTTAACTCACGTTATTTCGTTTGCCGCGCATTTATTTTTTATTTGAATTTATTTATTTGAGAGAATCGAAGTATATTTTTTTTAATCCGAGAATATGGTTAATTTTTTAAATAAAGAGGATTAATTGTGCAAGATATTTATATTTATCTCTATTATATACTGCTTTGTTTCTGGTATATTTTACTTATACTTATTTGTTAGATTGATTTTATTAATGTGAAATGAATACTCTTTAAATATTAATCAAGCGATAATAAAATAGAAAGAAATTTACTGAAATTTTAACGAGTTTGATACTGAATAAATTTCGATTAATCTCATTTAAATCTGGATTACGAATAATCTTGGAAATCAGAAATTCATTTCGAAGCTTTCAATGCTTTAAATTTATCAAGACCATAAAACATAAAATAATATAGTATAGATGCTTAAAGATATGCATAGTAAATTGAATAATCGCGTTGAGCGTTCTTAAATACGAATTCTCAGCTGTGATTGATCGATTTACATAATATGAATAGATATGCAAAACTTTACGACTTGGAAAATTAAAATGACACAACCGTAGTCCAGATTTTTATAATTTGTGTGAGCATTAAACGTATCAAAATTTGTAAATTTCTTATCCGTTAATTCATACATTGTCGTGAAATAATTTCGTACTTGAAATTAATGAAATCGACAAGTAATAAAATATATATATATATCACAGGTAAAAATGTGTTAAAAAAACAAATAATTCTTTGTATTTCGAAAACTAGAAATTTACATGTTAAAAATATATTATCGACCAATAATAATCAAACATTCTTGAGAATTTTTCATCACCTATATAGTTTTGTTTTATGACCTACAATCGTGTTATTAAACATCGGAACGTGTATACTTGTTTGCTATTATAACAATCGGTATTAATTTTTATAATGGAAAATTGAAAACTCATTGACCTCAATCATCAATTGCCACAATTGCTCGATAAAGTCCAAGGTCGGTTTTCAAGCGATACGTACACAAGATTCTAAGGACTTACCCGGACAAATTTGCATAGGTGCATAATGCATATGCATAAAGAAATTAATCGATCAAGTGTCTAAAAGAAGACGTCGTATTATTATCTTTCTCATATCAAACGAGCGAATGTTTTCGCGCATCACGCGCCTGTTTACAAATGAGATTCGATCGACGATCCAGGAGACTGGTGCTGCTACCTGGCGAGCGATCGAGGAAGTCGGCGCGAAATAAGACGTCGGGAAATAATCGCGCGGTTCGATCTTGTCGACGGCGATCCCGGATCGTCCGAGAGATGTCGGATGCCACTGGCGATTCGATTGACGGCGGGCATCGCGCTACTTGGCCAAAAATGCAAAAAGGTAAGGTGTGGGCAGACACGTAGATAGATAGAACGATACGCTATGTCGGTTATATCCGTCTGGTCTAGGCGCGGCCTGGCGCGGCCTGGCGCGGCCCGGTCGGTCGCCGGCCCGAGGGTCCGTTATGATTCCCACCCGGCGAGCGATCGCTTCAGCGAACAGCAGACTCGCGGAGTCGTCGGGATGCTTTTCCGCCTTCTTCTCCATTCTTTTTCCGCGATATCGCTCCGTTCCCGCCGCGCGTCGCTCGGAGTTATTATCGGCGAGGAAGATGCGCCGCTCGAGACGGAAAGATTCGCATCCTCCTAAAAGCCCCCGTGACGCGTACAAATTTCCGCGTGATTAATAATATCCGCGACGGTCGAATGCTCGATTTCCGCCGCCCTATCTATGTATCTCGTCGTCATTGATCGATCGGCTCGTTGCGCGCCAACTTCAGCCGTTTCCATCTTTCCCAAGGCGTTCCTCCCACCTCCCGCTTTCGACGAAACTTTTAAATTAAGTTGTTGACCAGCGGTTACCATTAGCGGTTCAATTTTCTTCGGACAGGACCTGTCTTCGAGGAGATGAATTTTATATCAAAAGGTACATAAATCACGAAATTCTCGGGAGAAATTGTCCTTAGATTGTTGCAATTTTTAGTCTCGCGTTGCCCGAGAATCGCGCGCGAGAGCGGAATGCTACTCGAATTAAATTCGCTCGTTACAAAGTAACGCGATCGGACGCGTGTGTCTTTGTTTCGTGGTGTCCTTTGAACAGCGCGATCTGTTTACGTAATCGGCGCGGGCGAGCGAGACAGTGTCGTCGCTGCGTTACTTGGAACAACAGTCACATGGCCTCTCTGGACTAGACGAACGAGCGAGCGAAAGAGCAAGGTCTAGGCTGGCTAGCGTTCAAGGTCGCGTACAGAGAGAGAGCGCGAAGCCCGGATCTATCCCCGCCCCAGATTTCTAGCGCCCTTCGCTCCTCGCTGTCACCCCGCGCCCCTCTCTCTCTCTCCCTCCCTCCCTCTCCTGTTCCTTTCGCTCGCTCCGTCTATCGCGACGTTTCCCATCCCGCTCGCGAGAGAGCCGCGACCCGCGCCGCGTGTGCAACATCGATTTAACCATAAAAATTCCCCGCGCTCGACTCTATCACTCGGCTATTATTTCCCTGCTCGCCCGGGCCGCCGACGCGACGCGTTCCGCTCCCGGAATTCTCTGCTCTGTAAATGCACGGCGAAGGAAGGCCTCGGGGCCGCGCGTTATACAGTCGCGCGAGAAACGAGGAAGCGCGCGCGCATCGCACATGATCCGCTCGCGCGTATGCGAGAGCGTATCTACGGAGCGCGCGGAGAAGAGGAGAGAGAGAGAGAGAGCGATCGCATACTTTGTGTTCGGGTTCTCATAAGGAAACGAACGGAAGCGTGACGAATAAGATACTAGCTCTCCGCCGAGAGGCGACAGCTGATTCTCGCGCTCGCTCGTTCGTTCGCTCGCTCGTTGCGAGGATGAAAGGGCGTATCGGCTATTAGGTCCCGTTACATACCACTACATCGACGAGGCATTAGCGGCATTAGTCTTGTTCTATTCTCTTTCTGGCGTATACACATCTTGTTGGATTCTACGCGCGTAGGCAGTTTTCGAAATTTATACTTTAGATAAATATTTGTGCAGGAGACACATGCGCGATATGTATAAATACAGATGTATAACAGATACATTTTAGATGTGATCTTTTGTATTTTTAGAATAAAATTTTTGACGAGTAATATGGGTGCGATTATATCACACGAAAGAGATTGTCTTTTGCATCATCTCTCTTTAATTTTATGAATATTTTATTTAATTTCGTAGATTTGCTTTTTAACAATTATATAAAAGAATGCGGTTTTTATAACGGTAAAATATTACAAGATATATAAATAACAATGATGCTAAATATTAATACCCAAATATTAGAAGTCAACAGACAATTTACGGAATATATAACGGATCAAAAACTCGTCGTCATTTTTTGCGTAAAGACTTGTACAGTTAATTTAAAATCCAAAATTCTTTCTCTTTCGCATTCTGATCCAGTCGCGACCTAGCAGAATCCAAGAAAGACTGTGTGTGTATGTGTGTGTGCCGCGTCTTTTTCGTTGTGAACCCGGAAACGCTTTGCCTATGCGAAGAAGCGGCGCTGAATCTACAGAACGGTATATAACTACGGTAGCCTGGCACTGGGTTCTAAATTCAATTCTGTTGACCTAGATTAGGTGCTACGTGACACGATGGGAGTTCGCAGTTGACTTTCTTCCCTCGTCCTCTCTGTCCTTCTCTTGCTTTCACCGGGCTTTCTCTCGCGTGTTCTCTCCGGCAAGATAAATTTGTTATTTTTTGATGCGCAGGTGTAAATTAAAAGGAAATTTTTTATTAACAATATTTAATTTCAATTACTCAATTTATTTTCAAAAGTTACTTTATAAAATTCCAAAAGAAAAAGTATTCTCGTCGAGATAAATCAGTGAGAGAGAATTTAAGGCTTTTTCAAATATTCAGAGTTGAATTGCGTTTTAACTGACGTTTTTATCACCTATTGAGATAGCTTTTTTTGCAACATTTAAACGGTCGAGAGGGGTTTCTTCTCTCGGAACCATCATTGTCGTTACTGTCGAGGGTATCGTGACGATGGAAAAGATCGAGGCAGAGCGGCGCCGAGTTAGCGAGAGATCGATGAATAATTTTGGAGTAGTGGACGAGCGAAAAGCCATTGATTGAAATTTTCATCAGCCTTTCGCGCGCGCGCGCGCCCGCTCCATTATTTATTCACGGAATAACGAACGGCCGCGACGAGCGAGCGGAGCAACGAGGAGACCAGGAGATAAAAGGCGATGTCTAGATTCGTTTGAGACATTACTGGCCACTTACACGGCTTCGCCGTGAAATTTTAAAACGCATTTAAACCTCGGTAAGCTTGGACACGAATCGAAGGCGGTGGGAGAGGAGAGGAAATCCACGCGAGAATCTTTCTAATAGGCATGCTTTCCCGTGTATTTCTCGTACAGAAACATCGCACGTTTGTGCGCGTGCGAAATATATTTAAAAAATTATAATTAAAAAGAAGAGAAATAACCGGAAGGTCGACATTAATTCAAATCTCATATTTTTCGTCGCGTAATATTTGCCATATTTGGATATTATCTCGATAAAAGCGAGTGTCGGAGAAGGCCTGAAATTTATGCGGCAAAGCGCGAGTCTGTGGAAGGTCATCTCATTTTATATGCGGTTTTGAACGGTAGAATCGCTCGGGCTTCACATACATATACGGGATTCGTTTTTGGCGAACAATCTCGAGACTCCTTCGTGACGAAGGAGCGAGAGAGGAGCAGCGACCGGTCGCGAGATCCTGCCAGCGAACGGTTTTGCGCAATCCCTGGCCTTCCCGTCCTCCTTTTCAGCAAATAGCTATCCGGCAAGAAACTTCCAATTCCGGATGTTGCGAGCGTATGGCGATACGAATATTATTTTATATCTATCCACATCACGGCTAAGTAACAGTTTCTATCAAAATAGATTAAATACATCGACTCTGCAAACTATAATTTTGCGATTCGGAGATTGATTTCGCGTTAATGTGATGTAAACAAATATAATTAAT